AGGGTGAACATACGGCTATATACAATCATTTTATCATAGCCATAAAGACGCTAAACGAAAAGATATACATACGGTTTTAAATCATCTGCGTTTGTATGATGACAATAATAACGGTGGCCTTCATAACATAAATAAGTTTTGCTATGAGTTGATTGTACAAATTCTATTTTCGATATGATTATGGTTGATAAAGTTTAGACTGGAAGATTGGTGAGGTGCTAGATTATCCATCGCTTTATATATCTACTTCTGATAACGTTACGTACACTATTTAATTTTTACATTACATACATTGTTAAGCTTAATTTATATTAAACACGTTGTTCACCTATCTTTACATTGTATATATTAACTGGTCGCGTTTAAATTTCCATTCTCTTCAAAAACTATGACAAAGGTCTTGTGAACAAAAACTAGATATGATTTCATTTTTAAATGCTGCAGGAACTAGATATTTCATATTCCAAATATTTAGAGGGATAGTGTTCTGTTCATTTTGATTTTATTCTGACTCTTTCTTTTTGTTAATTCTTTGCATTCTGGCTCAGCTCGTTTCTCTGTTATTTGAGAACTGTATTTTTTTGTCAATAATCTCTCTGTCTGTTCCTGAGCTTTTTACTTCTTTTATTTCCATTAAATTTACTTAATATGTACTAGTCAACAGCTTGAACGGGAAGAAGTTGTCGAAGCACAATTGCTAACGTTCTATCAAACTGCCGTAACTTGAAGAGAAAGTCGGAAAGTCATTCATTGTAGTCGAATAAGGAAAATTATACACTTTAAGAAAACTTTCAATCATCAAGAATTATGCTAGACACTACGTTCTCTTCGAAAAAATTGCTCCAGTTCAAAAGGGCCAGTTCAAAATAACAGCTACTCACTTAGCGCCAACTATAAAAGTAATTATCTTTGAAACCATTATATGTGTAAAGATGAAATTTTCAGAAAATGAATAAGTAATAGTCACTATTCATTTCCCAAAATTTCAGCTCGATCCGTCTGGCGCAAAAAAAGTCGCTTTTTCAACCTCTCTCATAATGCTCGAACAATTCGGACAAAGTCGATGTAAATGTGGTACGTTCTCGAAAGAACAACCCTGTTGGGAAGAAGACACATTCAGAGCAGAGATCATGAACGGAGTCCACGAACTTCAAAAGCCATGTTCTATCGTTACCTGACAATAAAACCGAATTATTAGCAGATTACCTGCCACTTGTCCCTGGTATGCCTGTACTGCTTACGAATAATATTACGAATGAGTTAGGAATATCAAATAGAACAAGCGAAATATTTAGAAACTTAGTTTATGAAGCATCAAATGAGACTCCAAAGTCCGATGGCAAAACAACCACGTTCCCTAGCCAGGCGGTATTCATCCAAAAGCCATTATATCTTATTACTAAGAGCGTCCAGGCCGACATAAAGCCGTTGTTAACAAAAGCAGTTCAGGAACCACTGCAAAACACAAGAATAAGCGTATACGCGAAAACAACTGCCATTTGTGCCAGTATATGCCATAACAACATATAAAAGCCAAGGACAAACAATGGCTAAGATTATTGTCGATTTAGTTTATCTATCATTGAAAAACCCTGAAACACCGTCAGCATACATTCCCTTATCTGGCGTAAAACGTCTGAAAGATTTAGTAATATATCAACCATTTCCTTACAAGTCATTGTTAGTCAAACCAACATCTGACCAAATAATTGAATTACATAGATTGAAAACATTAGGCAAACCGACATTAAAACGTTTTCAAAGTACAAAAAGAATGTAGTTTTTTTTCCTGAAAACACTGTTTCCAAAGCATAAGATAATTCGCTCTCTTGTTCACATTCACTCTGGAGAAAACTCGCAACTAGTAGGACCAAGCGCCAATAAAATTGATCCTAGAGATCACTCATAGTCAATTTCTGATTCCCCATAGTCAAATACCTCTACTGTGAAAGTTTCATGGTTGTATGACATCACATACTACAAACACATATATAGCCATTTTATTTGTCACTCTGTGCGTACATACAAATACACATACAAAGAATCAAGCAGGCATTTTAGCTCGATAAGGGAACATATAGTGTTCTTTAACATTTGTAAGCTGTTTTTTTCTTTTTCTTTTTCTTTTAAAACAATTTATGACGACATTCATATTTACGGTCTCTTTACATGCGCTTCAAGCTTCGCGACGGTTTATTCGAAGGTAAGGACAGAAGAAAAGTGTAAGACTACGTCATTTAGCCAGTAGACTGAATATCGTTATCGTATACGAGCCGTATGTTCACGCAAACCTGGTCGATGATTTAAAACCGTATGTATATCTTTTCGTTTAGCGTCTTTATGGCTATGATAAAATGATTGTATATAGCCGTATGTTCACCCTATGTATAGTTTATCACTGTTATTCTCAGTCCTCCTGAATATACTCTAGATTATCGTTGAGAGTGTCTGTCAGGGCTTCTTAACGGCTGTACTAAAGCAGGTGTATGTTAGTGTACTTGCACCGTGAAGAATCATCATAGTACCGTAGTGCATCTTGGATGAGTGACATTATACTTTGTGCGTTGGACTCAACAACGAAAACAAAGCATAACAGTATCATCGAGTAATATCTGTTGCCAATATCTTGGGCAATGTTTCTATAATATGAGGAAAAAGTGTTATATAGTAAAATTATCTTGATAAATTTTCTAACTTGTTCAGTAACAAATTACTATGTTATACATTCGCAAAAATACAGCTATATATACATATCACCGAAAGTCCGAGAAAGGATTAGAAAAGGATCTAATGACGTCAGAAGAACTGGTCAGAACACGACATCATTAGGTCATGACGTATAAAGAAGAATAGGAAAGAATATGCCATTGACAGCGCCATTTTCTGATACAAATACCGATTGGTGTTGACCATTACGTAGTTGGTTATAAAGCGTTTTAATTTTTTCATCCTTTAGTTGCTGTTGTTGTATGTGTGTTGAATCAGATGTGGTTGAAATGGCCATATTAAGATGTTGAATGTTCTCACTTGGAGCGTGCATGATGTCTAATTAATGTCTAACCCGATGACATTGTCGAAGAGCTTCGACAATGTCATCGGGTTTATCGGTAGGATACCTCGATAAACAATCCGCCACACAATTTGATTTGCCAGATGTATGTTTAATATCAAATAAGTATTCTTGTAACTGTAGAGACCATCGATCCAGTCGGCCATTTTTAGAAGATTGTTTATTCTGCCAACATAAAGGAGGATGATCGGTATAAATTGTGAAATGTTCACCATATAGGTAGGGACGTACTTTTGTGATACTAGGGCCAAGCATTCTTCTTCTTCCACAGTGGAATATTTTTGTTCCCGGGCAGTTAATGATCGGAATAAATATCGTAGTGGTCGGATACCATTTGATGTGACTTGATGTAATACGGCGCCGATACCAAAATTGGAAGCATCTGAATTTATTCGTAGTTTTAATGGTGATGTATGATCATAAAATGCCAATAACCCAGTGACAATTTCTGTTTTGACGTGTCGAAAGCTTATTGGCATTCTGATGTCCAGTTGAATTCAGCATTCTTGTTTTTGAACATGTTTAAGGGGGCGGCAATCGATGAGAAATCTTTAATGAATCGACAATAAAATTAAGCCATTTGGATAAAGAAATAAGAGGCTTTTGCCGATGTTGGGATTGGGAAGTCAATTGTTTTCTTTACGTTAGCGATTGTTGACTTGATTCCATCTCGTGTAATACGATATCCCAGATAATCTAATACTTTTCTAGCGATGTTGCATTTTGCGGCATTCAATTTGACATTGGCTCTTGCTAATGCTTGGGATACTAGATCAATATGTTGGATCAAAGGATGGAGAGTAGGTAATAATATCATCTAAGTAAACCAATGTGATATCCCATCGTAATGGTCCTAATATTGAATTAATGACACGTTGAAATGTTGATGGAGCGTTGGAGAGATCAATATGTTATAACAACATTTGATCTCTCCAACGCTCCATCAACATTTCAACGTGTCATTAATTCAAT